TAAATTTTATTAGTTTTAATGAACATTTACAGAGATTTTGGGTTTTCATTCATTCATTGTTGCACTGTTTTCTCCACCTTCCTCCCCAGTTTGTTCTTCTTCCCCCCCCAATGTCTGTTTTAATTGTCCAATTGCCACAGTGCTTGTCAAAGCCAGTTCTGATTTCAACATTGTGACATGAGGCCTAAACATGTTTTTCAGTTCTTTCAGCTTGAGAAATGCAGAGTGAGTTCTTCCCTTTTTATTTTCCAATTCCAGCTCTCTGCACATTCCATTACAATACTTTAGTTTGCTTTGTCCTCCTGAGCTGCCCTTTGAAACTGTTCAACTCTTTTACTTCAATATGTTTTCCTTTAGATTTGGCTTTCCAACATTCCAGTGCCATCTTTAGAGTCTCTTCTAACATCCATTTCAGTTTTTTCTTTCTGTTTTTGTAATGACCTTTTGCTTTCTTCTTGGGTGAGATCCTTGATATCATCCCACAACTCATCTGTTATTCTATGATTGGTTTTCAATGCCTTAACCTATTCTTAAGATGATCATGAAATTCCAATGGAATTGATCCAAGATCATATCTTGGTTCCTATGAACTTAATTTTCTTCAGCCTCAATTAGAACCTGAATATGAGTAATTGATGACCTGGCCCACAGTCTGCTCCTTGTCTAGTTTTGACTGCTAAACTATTATAGTATAATATCATTATTCTAAAAAGCTAAAGACAGGTTTCCATACAGAACCATTTTTGAATGGTTAACAGGGAAGGGAACATAGGAAAAGGGGAGCAAAAATTACTAACTAGATAAATTGGGTGAAGAAAAGACATTTATCTTTAAGGTGTCTGACATGGTTATTAATATATTTTAATTACACTTTAAAAAATTTTTATCTCGATTTGCATATAGTCATATTTACTGTGCTACATTCATGTACATTGCATTTTATACATTCACATACAGTGTGTTTTATACAATTATTACTGATCTTTACCTATTACCACTCCATCACCCTATTGCATCTTTCCTATTCTGACATCCACCCATCCGTCTCTACCCTCTGCTTTCCTAGTGATTTCACCCTCCATGCTTTCCCCAGCCTTTTCTCCTCTTCTCTTTCCTCTTTGAACATTTAAACATATCTTGCTCAGTTATCTTTTCACAATAGTGGACTTATACAGTATATATCCTTTTGTGACTGAATTATTTCACACAACATAATGATCTCATGTTGTCTCATGAGTTTCTCATATTGTCTGAATATTCTTTGTTCTTTAGTGCTGCATATTATTCTATTATGAGAATATGCCACAGTTTCTCCATCCATTAGTTTGTTGATGGATACTTAGGTTGTTTCCATTTCCTTACTGTTGTGAATAAAACTGCTATAAACATAGGTGTACATATTTCTGCGTCTCACCTCTGATTTCCTTGAGGTATATTGCTTGCAGTGGAGTTGGGATTGCTATGGTCTACTGGGTGTAGCGGATTTTTGTTGTTGTTGAGTCTTTGGTATTTTCTGTGTATATTATCATATCATCTGCATCTAGCTCTGGTTTTACCAACTCTGTCAATTTGATGCTTCTTATTTCCTTCTCTTGCCTAATTGTCCTAGCTAGTACTTCCAATACAATAGTAAATAGGAGTAGTGATAATAGACATCCTTGCCTGGTCCCTATTCACATTCTCCATTGAGAATAATGTTGACTCCTGGTTTTGCATTTATATTTTTCACTACATTGGGAAAATGTCCTCTATTCCCATTTTGTTAAGTGTTTTAACCAGATAAGGCTGTTGGATTTTGCCAAAGGCCTCTTCTGCATCAATTGATAGTATCATGTGGTTCTTTTTCTTTGCTTTATCCGTGTGATGAATTCTGTTAATTGTTTTTCTTATGCTGAACCATCCTTTCATACCTGTTAAATACCTGTTATCAGGATTGTATCCTTTCATTATAGTCATTCAATCTGTATATTGAGAAAATAATCTGAGAAGCTATAGGAATACATAGCATCTGGATTTGGAGGAAACTTATCAATAATCTGAAATACCCAAGTGTCACAAGGTTGTTTCCAGGAAACAAGAAAGACTTGAAGTACTACTGATGAATATTTAAAACTGTAGTATGGATTCTACCTTGTTTTTATGTGCCATTGAGTTGTCTGTGACTCATACGACCCTATAGCTTACAATAAAGAAAACAAAAATCTTCATGAATGGTCTAATAGGCAGCATCGTGATAAATGATGAAAAAAGTACAATGGTGTCAAGAATGTCTTTTTACTCGGATAAACAATCAATATCCATGGACACTGTTGTTAGATTAAAAATATTTTATGTAGAATTGGTATTAGTTCATTTCTGAATGTTTGGTAGAATTCACCTCTGTAGTAGCTTCCTGGGCCAAAACCTTTTGAGGGATGATGGTAGGGGAAGTCTTTTTTTATGACCTGCTCAATTTCTTCTTTTGTGATGGGTTCCTTTAAGTGTTCCATTTCTGTCTATATCAGTGAGCCTGATTCCCATAAGGTTGTACCAATCATAATAATAAACACCTTAGCATCTATTATATACTACATGCATGGTATAATGGACATATTGCAAATTCATGTAGACCACAAAACAAATACCACAATACAGAAAGTATATGAATGTCTTTGCTTTTCTAATATGAGAGAATGAAGAGGTAACATGCTCTGACAAATATGTACAGCCTTAGAAACCTGATGGGGGCCAGTTCTACTCTGCCCTATAGGGTCTCTATGTGTTACAGTGAACTTGGTGTCAGTGAGTTTGGCTTTCAGTGTATATAAAAGTAGTCTGTGATATATGCAGCAACAATATGAAAAACTTTGAAATAGTGTTAGAATTGACATAGATCCCAAGTGAGCACATGATATTGCAAAAAAGATACTTGTCACATGTTTGCCACAAACCCACAATTAAAAACAAGCAACACCGTATCCACAAAGTTCATTGAAATGAGGTTGGCAGACTCAGATAGCAGATTGTTATTGTTTTGGATCCTCGAATTGGACTGACCCATAGCTGACCCTCCAGAGAGTCTTCAGAAGCAGTAAATTTTACAAGAGGAGATTGTCCATCCTCCTCCCGTGGAGCAGCTGGGGGACTCAAGCCATGTGTCTTTGAGATTGTCCCACAGCTTTTCACCACAAGGCCACCAGAGCTCCCTAGATGGCAGGAGTTCTGGACAAGCTGCATGGATTCCTAGGTACTAAGATCCAGAAGGCAAGTATTTTTTGTGTCCATGAGACTGTGCAAGAAAAGACACCAATTTACGGAACTCTCAAAAATCTAGGCTCATAGCAATAGCCTCTCTCCCCAACAGCTCATACTTGCCTGATGGGCTCCTGAGCTAAATTACAGTTGAAAGGATGGAGCCTATTGCATAGATTCAACAATATAGACCTCTTCTTACCAACACTGAAATGACTGCCAATGCTGAATGTCCAGTTTCCCACTAAACACAACCAAGGCTAGTAGTAAGCCCTAGTAATTGTCCCATCTCCCAGGTCGGGAGTGAAGGGGGTCTTAGGGACTTTTAGAAACTTCTGACCAATTGAGAAAGCAAAGAGATACTAAATAGACCCTTTGACATTTATATATTTGTCTTCATTGCTCTAATTAATACATTTACCATAGCCTCTCAAAACATCAACAAAAACCCTGAAACCAAGGCTGGTGAGATAATTTTGATTCACTGCAATCCCAAGTTTTACAGAGCACAGCTTCTCTGTTTATTTTCTTGGCTATATCTTTTATGGAAGAAGGGTGCCAGGCTTTTCCCCCCAGAGTGTTGCTGGGTGGGTTTGAATTGCTAACCTTTACATTGATATAACAAAAGACCATACTTTTGGGAGAATTTTCAAATGCAAGGAAACTCCATGGAACTTACATTCCCACCAGGGAGTGAACCTCGGGCTCATGCTCCACCTGGAGGAGATCCCAGCGGCGGCTGCTCTCACTCGCCCATAGTAAGGTTCTCGTATGTCCAAGGTTTCGTTGGTGAGATCACACAAGAGTTCTGGAATACCCCAGCAGTCCTTTTTATTTGTCCATTGTCTCTGCCCATATCTGCAGACAGCATAGAGGAAGATTTTAATTTTTTTATTCAATTGAAGAAATTATTTATTTTTTCAGGCTGTTAATATTTTGTTGCTGTTGTTAATTGCGTTTGAGTCAAGCATGACTCATAGCAAGTCTATGAACAAAAGGCCTGAAGCCCCTCTACAACTATCGACATTTATCAAAGATCACAGAGTTTCCAGAGGCATGTTAAGATCAGCATCAATGTGGCGACTTACGACTTCTTTTCCCCAACCTCCTGCTCCTTTTGTATGGCTCCACTCAAGTGTCTTTTAAAAGAATTCCTTCTTGTTTACCAAACTGTTATTTTGCTGGAGGAGTAATTCAGCCCTGATACTTTCTGGATCATTAACATAAAGACTTTTTAATACTTGTTCTTGGGTTCCAACCCCTTCTTTGGGTTTTCTGAGGCACTAAATAGCGTGAGAGGAGATTGCCCACCTTTCTCCAACAGAGCAACTGGTGGATTTGAACCAACTACCTTTGTGTTGGCAATGCAATTCCTTACCACTAAGCTTCCAGAGCTCCCTTTTTAATGCTTTGTGATGAGTTTTTCTCCAGGTATAATGACAGACTTCCATTTTGACTACTAGCTCTCCACATCCTTAATGCGTCTGAGGTTTCAACACTTTGTGGCTTGCTTTCTTCTCCAGCTTGCTGTTAAGTAATACGACTGATTCAGAGAAATTGCTGTCCCTTATTACCTCAAGTAACGCTTACCCATAACACAAAGTTGATCTCCCTCTCTTTCTCTTTTTTTCTTTAATTAAAGGAGAATTCGTAGTGAATGCTTAATACAAAACCCTGTAACTTGAGGCTTGAGGAAGAGTATGAGAGAAAATCATGAAGTAAGGGTACAAAGATACAGAGAGACTTATATCAACCTGGGTTAATACAGCAAAAGAATAAAAGGGTATGCTTCTTTTTTTTTTATGAGCTACAAATTGGCCACTGTAGCAAGATGGTGGAGGAGGTAGAGAAGAATTATTATAGCCTGGGGAGACAGGCTTCCCAAACTATTTCTCAGAGGACATGAAATCTAATGTCCTAACAATGTAATGAGGAATATTGTTAGTGTCTGCAGTCTGAAAACCATATGCTAATAAAAATGTTATAAAATCAGGATCTAATATTAAAGCAAACGCAGCAACATATATTGAACATTAATTTGGTGCTTTTTTTTTCCATTATTATCGTATTAAAGAGATGAGTGAACTAACTCCGTCTCATAAGGACAAACATTTCATAAGACCATTACTGTAAAAATAGACAGATGACCAGTAAAATGTGTATGAGGGCCCAAGGGGAGAAGGGGTGTGAACAGAGGGGTGAGGAAGAGCAGGGAGAAAAATCAAGGGGTCACACAATTTGGTGAGTAAAGGGAGACGGGATAAAGGAAATGGAAAAGATCCAGCAGGGACCTAAAATGATGGGGTATTTGTGAGCATAGTTTAATGGTGATTAATTTTACAAAACACAATAGAAATGAACTGTATGGAACACAATGTGAATGAAGGAGAGTGTGAAACGCGATGTATACAAATTTTATATGCACACCAATATGACATAAAAAAAGAAGAAGAAAAAAAAGAATGGCAAACACTGTTAAAAAAAACCAAAAAAGAGATACCTTTGCTTAGTCCCAATGCCTAACTTCTCTTCTTAGGTCATACTTCATTTAAGACACATAGCAATAGTAGACCCACATGAAACGGAGAGACGCCAGTGACAGACTTAACAAAATTTATCCATTTGCTCTGAGCTGTTGAAAGGCTTATACAGACAGAGATGGATGCGGATGTTCTGGGACTCTGACAGTTCTCTAATTTTAAAAGCTCTTTATAAAAATTATTTGCAATTTTAAATTTGGATGGCACATTTAAACATAAACTTCATGATAAGCATCCATTAGTTCTACTGAATTTGGGACCTAATTCTGCTGTCTTAGGTAAAGAATATACCCTACTTTATGTGTTCTAGAACTAGCCCCAGCTATGTACGAATCTAATCTTTGTTGTTGTTGTTATGTGCCATCAAGTCACTTGCGACTCATAGCAACCCTATGTACAAGAGCCCTAAACAACGTTCTATCCTGTGCCAACCTCACCGTCTCAGACACACTCATTCCCACCACTCCACTCACAGAATCGATCCATCTCATTGAGGGTCTTCCTCTCCCGCCCCGTCCCTCCAGTCTCCCAAACATAATGTCCCTCTCCAAGGACCAGTCCCTCCTTGCAACATGCCCAAAGTATGTCAGACAAAGCTTCAGAATCCTTGACTCCAAGGAGCATTCTGGCTTCACCCTCTCCAGGATAAACCTGTTTGTTCTCCTAGAAGTCCCTGGTATATCCAACACTCTTCTCTAGCACCACAGCTCAAAGGCATCAATTCTCTTTCTATCATCCCTATTCACTGTCCAACTGTCTGATGCATAGCACGTAATTGCAAAGACTATAGCCCGGATCAGGTGCACCTTAGTCTCCAGCCTGATGTCGTTCCTCTTCAGTACTCTTGAGAGGTCCCTCACAGCTGACTTAGATAGAGAAAATATTATTGTAAAGATTTTTAAATTTTATATTGGTTACACAAAATATGTGGGAAAAAGCAGCAGTACCTAAAGATTGAGACGTTTGTACAATCCTGAAGGCACACATTTCGAGGTCACAAGCTACTCTGGGAAGAAGGATGGGCAATCTCCTCCCTTGTAATTAACTGCCTCTGAAAATCTGCCAGAAGGTCAGCTATGGGTTGGTTACAACTCAGCAACATCCCCTCTAAAGACAAAGATTGTTGTTGGTTATTCTTGAGTACTCTGTGACTCATGTATGCAGAGCAGAACTTGTTCATAAGCTTTTCAAGGCTGCAATCTTTTTTTTTTAAAGAAGTTTGCTAGACTTTTCTTGCAAAGCACTTCTGTGTGTGTTTGAAGAACTCTGTTGTTGTCATGTACCATTGAATCAGAACAGATCCAGAGCTGACCCTCCAGTGGGTTTTCAAAGGCAGTTAAATCTCACTGGAGATTGCCCATCCTTCTCCCTCAGAGCAACTGGTGGATTTGAACTGCTTGCCTTCTGGACTGTAGTGCAGCTCCTTACCATTAGGCCACCATCAGAGTTCCCAAAAGAGAAGCAAATCAATAGGAAACTCTGAATATCTCCCCCACGCTAAACTGAGAGTTGATCATTGCCAGATGATAATGCTATTCAACAAAAATTATTATTTTTATCCATAGGTACATCCAATTTTCTTAATTACCAGTGAAAACTCATGAAAGCTGGACTCTGTAACTTTTCCTGTCCAATGATCAACCAACTTGCCAGACTATGTTAGAAGAGGAAGAACTTCAAATGTCACAAAGAAACCACAACATGAAAAAAAAAACAGAGAAACAAACTAGGAAATGAGTAGGAAGAAATAGCACTTGGAAATTTGATCCATGCAGGAGAAGAGTTGATCATATCTGAGTTTTTACAACAACCTAGTAGGATTATCCTGAAGTTCACGTAAGAAGAACATTGAATAGCATATTGTGATTTGTGGTCCTGCTAACAGGAGTCATTAATTTTTGAGAAAAAAATATTCTGTATAGTAAACCACACTAAAAATGACAGAAGACTCATTGATGTTTTCCACCATTTCTTTTTCAATGATCAAGAATTTCAACCTAATTACTTTGTGGATGCTGAACATTGCCTTCTAAAAGCCACTCAACAAATGTGGAATGAGAAGCCAGCATGCACCAGACTCCGCCCTGAAACCCCAGGATAGGCCTGTAAGATCTGAGTGTTGGTCTTCCCAGGGATGAAGCATCTCCCCAACAGGCTGTGCATATCATCTTTGGTGCTGTGCCACCATCAGGGGAGATAGGTAAGGTAAGAGGCCTAGTGATAAGAAGCTGTGCTGCAATTACAAAGGCATCCAGTTCAAATCCACCAGATGCTTCATGGGAGAAAGTTGGACAATCTCCTCCATGTGATTTACTGCCTCTGAAAACCCACTGGAGGGTCAGTTATGGGTTGATTTTGACTCAAAGGCACACAACAGCAACAACAATCCCTAACTCTGCTTCTTCTTATTCTTTATGAAATGGGGTGGGGGGACCCAAAACACTCTCAGATATTCATTGCATTCTAACACTCTATCCCAGGGACCCTCCTTCAGGAGCCACATTTACTTACACTTTGTACTGCACAAAATAGTTGCTGTGGTTGCCCATAAGTGCCTTCCCAGGCTGCCAGTGCAAAATGTTGTGAAAATTTTGAGATAGAAATCGTACCCTCTGGGGCTTTAGAGATTCCTGAGCTGGCTGGGTTTCTGAAACAATGAGAAAAGGAAAAGCATTAAACATTGATAAACGCAAGATTGTTATGAGCAGAGGTTTTCAATGGGATGCCCAAGTCAGAATTCCCCAGAGTATTCACAATTAGCACAGATGGAGTTCAGAAATCAATACCTTGAATTTTTGATGCGATGATCTAAATGCACATGAAGTTTCAGTATGATTACCATTCTGAAGTATAAAAACACAAGTGATGTCCACTAAGTCCCATTTTCCAAGCTCGGGAGAAGTAAATGCTGCTGTTGTTGCTATTAGGTGCCTTGGAGTTGGCTATGACTCATAGTGATTCTAAGAACGACAGACCAGAGCCTTTCTGATCCTGCACCAACCTCACGAGCTACGTCACGTTCAACCCCCGTGTGGTGGGCACTGTGTCCATCCACCTGGAAAGGGCCTTCCTCTCTTTCTCTGACCCTCCACCTTTCCCAGCACAGTGTCTCTCTGCAAGGATTGGTTCTTCCTGAGAAGATGCCCAAAGTAAGTGAAACAAAGTTTCTCCATCCTCGTCTTTAAAAAATATGCTAGATGTACTTCCTTCAAGACAGATTTGCTTATTCTTTTGACAGTCCATGGTATATTTAACACTCTTTGGAAACTACAATTAAAAGGTATTACTTTATCTTCAGTTTTATTTATTTACTGTCCAACATTCAGATGCATAGGAAACAAAAACACACTGTCATATGTTTCTTCCTAGAAGAAAACAATTGCAGAGATAAAAGGCCTATACCCAGATCACGCACCCACCTTTCCAAGAGCGACTCTATTACCACTACTCTGGGCCAAAGTTTTTCCTGGGATCAGTTTTGGCTCCAGGACTCCGGTATAGGGTCCGGGTGCTCCTCTGTCAAGTTCTTACTCCATCTTTGGGGCCCCTGTGTCCTCCCTGACTTGATCTTCTGTTACCTCCATGCTCCTTCAGGCATCTTTGCTTTTACCATGAGGTAGGTCATCCTGATGGTAACTGCTCTTTTTTTTTCTCTCTCTTGATCGGCACATGGATCATTTCTTAGCCTCTTCAAGATTTTATTAGAATACCACCTCATTGAAATGGAGCTAATTATCTCAGCTCTGTTATTGCAAGATATTTTCCCCTTAATAAATAAGACTGCTTCCTTAGATAATTATTTTTATCAACCAAGTAGTGTTATTTGTTTTATACTTGGTTTCTTGATGGTATGTTCTTGGAAAGAGTTGATTCCCCTTATCAAAATCACTATCTGAGTAATGGTTTTTTTAATATTTAATAAAAATTCTGGATGTTTTCAGAGACAACAGACATAATTCTCTGAAGAGCTACCTAGAGCTGACTTCTTAATTTGCCATATCTTTTTTTCCTACTAAGTTCTTCTGTTTTTTTACAATAATACCATAGTTACTTTAGGGCCTAGTGGGCAAAGAATGGCACTGCCAAACCAAAGGGATGCAGTTCAAATCCACTAGCTATTCCAAACCTGCTGGAGGGCCAACTCTGAGTTGATTCTGACTTGATGACATAATCACAACTAATTAGCATCAGGCACTGTGAGGGCTTTTATCCTCAAAAGCTCACGTAATCCACCTGGCTCTTCTGTGAGAAGGTAACTATTGCCATCTCCCTCACACAGACTAGAAGGTTTGGAGAAGGTAGGGAATATTCCCAGAAGCAAGTACTGAAGCTGCTCCTAGAGCCAAGCCTCTTTCTTACCACAGAAAACCTAGAGCAAAGCCTTTCCTATCTTGGCAGAATTCTTCAGATCAATTACAATTTTACCTTGCTACCATGACATATTATTTCATTGTTTTTGTTGTTGTTAAGTGCTGTCTAGTTGAGTATGACTCATAGTGACCCTACGAACAAAAGATCTGAACCCTGCTCTATCCTGCACCTTCAGTCTTCCTTACACAAAAGAGCCCATTGCAGCAGTCAGCATATCAATCTGCCTGGTTGAGGGTCTTCCTTTCCTTCACTGACCCTCTGCCTTCCCAGCATCATGTCCTTCTCCAAAGAATAGCCTCTCCTAGCACCATGTCCAAAGTATGTGAGGTAAAGAGCACTATGGCTGCACCCTCTTCAAGAAGTATCTGTTTCTTCTCTTGACTGTCCATGGGATGTGCCCTGCTCTCCTCCAACATGACAGCTCAAAGGCGTCAATCCTTCTATCATTCTTATGCATCGTCCAGCTCTCAGATGCACAGCAACTAATCAGAAAGACTACGGCTTGAATCAGACTTACCTTAGTCCTAAAACTGACATCATTACTGCTCAATAATTTGGATAATAGAATAAATTGTATTAATTGTAATAATTTGGAATAATAATTTCATCAGTTTGAGGGAATTGAAAAGTTGTCTTATTTCAAAAAATATTTGTTGTAAATCACTTTTCTTTGGTAGCAGCTCATTTTTGTTGGAATAAATCTTCATCACCAGGGAGGAGGTTTTAGGGAAACAGGAACCAGAGGCTGAGGATATGTCTCATCCAATCTTTTCTCTGTGTCAACAGGAGCCTGAATGGCGTTCATGGAACATTCTCCACATATCAGGTACTATGCTAAAAGCTTTTCATCTTAGTTAGTGAACATTTCCTGTATATCAGGTACTATGCTAAAAGCTTTTCATTTTATTTAATTTTTGTGACAAACAAATAAGGCACATATTTGATTATGACATTTTCGAGATGGGGAAGCAGAAGTTGCATATCCTATCTAAACTTGTTGAATAATAAAGTGCAGGTCCAGGGTCTCTGGCAGCACTGAATTCTTGTCAAACCTCACCTCATTGCCTTCGAGCTGGAAACAACTCATGGATGATCCTCCACTGGATTTCCGAAGCTCTAAGTCGCCTGGAAGGAGATTGTCTTTCTCCCTCAAAGCAGATGCTGAACTTGGATGACTAGAGAGGCTCAGCTTTTGGATAAGCAGTGCAACTCCCTATGGACTGTTCCACCACAACTCCCTAATGCCTGCCAACGAGGTCTCAATTGTTTTTACACATCACACTCTGAATCAGTACATAGTCTGGGGAAAGCGACCTTATATTAACAGGTGCCCATCTGCAGACGGGATTATAAGGGCCTTGATTAAAGAAATGCTGTAGTGAGAAGATGCTCTATGCTCTTGATGAGTTCTTTGAATATTTTTATTGTTATTTTTAGGTGCCAATGAGTCAAGCATGACTCATAACGATCTGGCACCATCCTCACACTTCTGACACACAAGAGCCCTTTGCAGCAGTCACCCTTTCAATCCACGTGGTTGAGGGTCTTCCTCTCCTTCACTGACCCTCCACCCTTTCCAGCATCATGTCCCTCTCCAAGGAATAGCCTCTCCTAGCAACATGCCCAAAATACGTGAGGTGAAGCTTCACCGCTCTTGCCTGCAAAGGGCATTCTGGCTGCACCCTCTCTAAGACATATTTGTTCTTGTTCCCTGTGAATACCAACAGCAAACTTTCATGTGATGCTTATGGCCCTTAGTCTGTGCCAGGCACTGCTCTGAGCATTTGGCATGTATTAACTCATTTACTCTTCCCAATGGCCTATACTCCTGTTTTATGGATGAGGAACTGAAGGAGTTAAGTAAATTCTTAAGACTACCTAGATCATTAAGTGGAAGAATTAAAATTCAGACTCAGTCTCATTTAGGACTCTGTCTTCTATAGAGACCTTTAAAGAGAAAGTACATTCTAGGAGGAGAGGAGTCTTTTCTCCTGTGTGCTTCCTAGTAGGTCTTCATTAACTGCATATGGAATTCATCAGACTGTAGATAGTATCTGATCTTTTGCCATTGACTTGATCTGTAGCAAGAAAACAAAGCTAAACTTTTTAAAGTCCACAAAAAAGCCAGTGCCCTTTCTGATAATCCCTTGATCTGACTCATTTGACAAAGCCAGGAGCAATTAAAAAGAAATCAAGCACTTACCTGCTCCATCGCTCAAGAGAAAAGTGACAAGGAAGCCAAGAAAGCAATGGTTAGACTTCATGGTTGCGAGTGTGACTGGCCGGACCACTTGGGTTCCCTTCAGCGACAGGACAGGTCGGGGAGAACAGGAAACTACACCATTCAGAAACCACAGTCTCTGGACCAATGCTAATAGTTCCTTGAAGTTACCATTTGTATGTTGTTAGTAGATCCTTTTATTATTGTATGAGTGTATTGTCTAGAAACCTTTACTGTAAATCACTCATCTTTCACTATGACAGGGCTTCATTAGTGAAGAAGAGGTATAATGCAGGATTGGCAAGGGCGAGCAGAAAATTGTGTAAGGTGTTCCCGGGAGGCAGGGAGGTGGCCAGGAACCAGCCTGGGACTGGCAAGGCTACTCTGAGTAATGTTCTTGTCAGTTGCAGCTGTCAGGGCTCCTGGCAATGGTTCGCAGGTGGGGTCTCTCTTCTTTTTCTTCCTCTTCCTCCCTGTGTGGCAGCTCCCCAACTAGCCTCTATAGCATACCTCATACAGCATACCTCATACATTCTGCTCCTGTCAGGTTTTCCAGAGGGTCCAACCTTCCCAATTCCACTGAGTGGTTCCTATAGCAATGCCTCTTCCTTTTCCATTCCCACCCTCAGTTAACAGGAGCCATCTGGACAAAATTCCAAGTTTTTTGAACCAAATAATACCTTAAAGGGGGTAGGTGAGGAGGACAATATTATGTGACACTATTCATGGGCAATATCTAGAATAGCAAATGCATCGAGACTAAAGCTTATTAGTGATTACAGTGGATGAGGGAGCTGGAAGGCAAGGGGGAGGGAATGCTTTATTCAGCTATGGGGGATGGAAACTTGGAAACTGTGGACATAATTAAGGTTACTGAAATGTACACATAAAAAATGTTGAAGCTTACAAATGTTTTGTTGTATGCTTATCTTTATTTAAAGATTATGCATTTCTTTTTCAAGATTATATGCTGAGAACAATCATTTTGTGCTGGAACTATACCTTGGATCATTTTCATATCTTTGAAATCCCATCAAGTCAACTTGGCTTGTGATTCATCTTATCACTTTTGGAAGTACTAAAATGATACACGAAAGTACAAAAAGTTACAGTGATTGAGCATTTTATTTTGTTTTCCTTAAAAGGGCTTTTTAGGTAAAAAGAGGAAACGTATTCAAGCTTCTTTTTCCCCCCTTAGGTAGTCTGTTTCAATTGTAGAACAACTCTGTCAGTAAGGAACAGTGATGAGTCTTAAGCAATCTTTTGTTTATTCACTCACTCATTCATTCATTCAATAAAATTTAACAATCATTTGTAGCCCTACCATGAGCTAGACATTGTTCTCAGTGCACACCCTTGCCTTCCGGAAACTACTTTCCAAAGTGGCATATGAACAATAAGACTTGTGGCAGATTGCAACTTCAACCAATCTTTGCTTCTTTCCTCCTTCTGAAATGTGGAAATGTGAAAACTTCTGAAGTTTCAGAACTCATCTTCCACAGTCAGTTTGCCATGCCCTAAGACTAGCTAAGATTGGGGTTGTAGAAAGAAAAAAGAAATGGAAAAGTTAAAGGTCAGACACAGGAAGAGGAGTCATCAAACAGGTACAGGAAAAAAGGAGCAGATGGTAACTGTTGAATGCAGATCTCAGCTTTTGCAACCCTACAGCCCTATGTTGAGTGCTTTGGATACTTTGTAGCCTCAGACTGTGAAACCTTGAGTGGGTTTGGGAGCAAGCAGCAAGATTTCATAGCTAATGAAAGTGCCTTGACCTAGAGCCCATGAAGAATTTCCAAATGAACCAGGTCATTGTGGACCCATTGTCATGGTCATTTAACAAATTCCAGCTATTTGAAATTAGTTATGAATGTACGCTTTCTGAAGGAAGGGCGGTTTGTAGAGGTTTGTGAAGATGGCACCAGGTTTTCTCCACCCGTCTTGTGCCAACCTTTAGAATTCAGGCACCCGAGTCCTCCCAGGGAAGTTCCCATTGTTTATAAGCTAGCTTGTGGTTTTAAAGAAGGGACAAAACTCTCTTACGTTTTTCTTTCACTTTCTTACTGCTCCTTTCCTTCCATTTTCTTTAGCGCCCTCTCTTTTACTACATGTAAAGGTTAATTTTCTCTCAGATTGGTGAGGTTTGACTCCTAAGGTTAGGCATAATTGTCTACTTGCTATTCTATAATGTAATGTAATGTAATGTAATGTAATGTAATGTAATGCACGGTAGTGGAGTATAGTGTAGTCCTAGAGAAGGTGAAGCCAGGATGCTCCTTGGAGTCAAGGATTCTGAAGCTTCGTCTGACATACTTTGGGCATGTTGCAAGGAGGGACTGGTCCTTGGAGAGGGACATCATGTTTGGCAGAGTGGAGGGGTGGCGAAGTAGAGGAAGACCCTCGATGAGATGGATCGATTCTGTGAGTGGAGTGGTGGGAATGAGTTTGTTTGAGACTGCGAGGGTGGCACAGGATAGAACGGCATTTAGAGCTCTTGTACATAGGGTCGCTGTGAATCGCAAGCGACTTGATGGCACATAACAACAATAACATAGTGTAATATGATACAGGCAATGGTCTTTGCAATCACTTGTTATGCATCTGAGAGTTGGACAATGACCAAAGAGGATAGAAGGAGAATTGATGCCTTTGAGCTGTGGTGCTGGAGAAGAGTATTGAGAATACCATGGATTGCTAGGAAAACAAACAGATTTGTCCTGAAAAGGGTTGAACTGGGTGGCTTCTTGGAGGCAAGGATTCTGAGGCTCTGTCTAACATATTTTGGACATGTTGTGAGGAGAGACCGGTCCTTGGAGAAGGACATCATGTTTGGGAGGGTGGAGGGACAGCGCAGGAGAGGAAGGCCCTCTATGAGGTGGATTGATTCAGTGACTGGGATAATCGGGATGGGAGTGTCAGAGACAGTGCGATTGGCACAGGACAGAGCAGAGTTTAGGGTTGTGCCGCACATAACAACAACAACAAGTTGCAGTGTAATCAATCAGCTAAAAAGGGAGTTTCCTTAGGGTGTATTCTGTTTCCAGTCTATAATGTTTTGCCATACTTTGCTCTTTCTCCTCAGCGTGCACCCTTTCCCTTACTTGACCTATGTTTGGACCTTGGGTGCAAGTTTGCAAACTTCATTGGTCAGGTGTCTTCAGCCTATGGATTTTGAACTTACCATTCCTTGACAATCATATGAGCTAATTTACATGTCAATGGTTCAGTTTCTCTAGAGAACACTAAGATACAAGTGTTGCCCACTGAATGCTAGCCTTTGTATTCACCTTGTTTTTAAATGAGAGATACTAACCCGGTTTGAGTTTCACACTTCTTGAGAAGTGGCTATTTCCATCACCCACTCCAAATTCCAGTGAGAAAAAGAAAAAAACCAAATTGAAAACATCTTAAGTAAGGGTTGTCTAAATTGAGCAGGAGAGCATGAAATTGGGCTTTCCACTGAGCTACTGACCTTGGAATAAATAAGAAAAGTTAGGTCAGAAGGAGATGGAGCATAAATACACAGAAGACTGAATTTTTTCTAAAGGGGTGCATTTCTATACTCTGTTAATTTCAGAAACCAACCTATCTTGTCCTCACTCAACAAGCTTGCTTTTGTTGTTGTTGTTAAGTGCTGTTGAGTCACCTGTGACTCATAGCAACCCTATGTACAATAGCCCTAAACCCTGCTCTGTCCTGTGCCAATCTAACCATCTCCAACACACCTGCCCCCATTACCCCAGTCACTGAATCAATCCATCTCATCGAGGGTCTTCCTCACCTGTGCTGTCCCTCCACCCTCCCAAGCATGATGTTCCCCTCCAAGGACTGCACCTTGCAACATGTCTAAAGTATATCAGATGAAGCCTCAGAATCCTAGCCTCCAAGGAGCTCTTTAGCTGTGTGCTTCAAGGTAGACCAAAATGTAAAAGAAATTATTTTACCAATTTAGAAGTAGAACAGTCCGTATTGAATGGTTTAGAACGAAATCATTTTGGGTAAGAGAAACAATAAAATGACAGACATCCCTACTCTGCCTTGCTGCAAAAATGAAATATGGGCTTTAGACTTACCCCGACCTCTATCCTTGGCTCCTTGGTGGTGGTGATTGTGTGCTATCCAGTTGGAAGCAACTCATAGCTGATGTTCCAGTGGGTTTTCAGAGGCAATAAATGACCATGAGCCTTTGAGTTCTCAGCACAGCTCCTTCCTACTAGGTCATCAGCGCTCCATGGGCCCCTTGGAGAGAGTAAACGTCTCTTTTTTTATGAGGTTTTAGTTCTAAAGAGACCTTGGTTAAGCCCTTGCCTTGGACAGACTTGTGGACCAGCAAGCCAACAAGTCATCTAATTAAGAAATGATGATTCTTTTAGGTTGTTCTTGTTATGTAACTTTGTGTTGGAACTGACTCATAGCTCACCCTCTAGCAAATTTTCCGAGGCAATAAATCACCCAGGAGGCGATTGCCCATCTTTCTACCTTGGAACAGCTGGTGGATTCAAATTGAGTGCTTTTAGGCTGGCAGCGCAGCTCCTTACTACTAAACCACCAACAGGAATTCCCTTACAACATTAATTTTTGTTATTATTTTATCACTTTTTAGAAATGTTGTTGTTGTTATGATTCACTGAGTCAAGTATGATCCATCCTGACCCTATGAACAACAACAGATCTGAACCCTGTCCTATTGTGTACCATTCTCAAACTTCTAACACAGTAGGGCCCATTGGGGCAGTCACTTTTTCAATGAACCTAGTTGGAGGTCTTCCTCTCCTTTGTAGATCTTCTGTCTTTCTGCGTATCATGTTCCTCTCCAACAATAGCCCCTCCTAGGAACATACGTCAAGTGTGTGAGGCGAAGCTTTATCATATTTGCCTCCAAAGAGCATTCTGGCTCCACTTACTCCAAGACATTTATTTGTTCTTTTAGCAACCCATGAGATGTTCAGTACTCTTCTCCAACACCACAGCTCAAGGACATCAATCCTTCTTCTCTCACCCTTATTCATTGTCCAGCTCTCAGATGCATAGCAAGTGATCAGAACA